ATGAGATTGATGGAGTTCATATGCCTCAAGCAAGCTAATAAAACATGTTTCCCTCTCATTATGGACCGATATTTAACATACATGCATGTGTTAATTCACATTAACACATTTGTCTATAAAATACTTTAATTAATTACAGAGTGAATTATTATGATTATGGAAGTCCACATAAAAATATTCCAACAGTCTCCCACTTGGATGACATAATCATACAACAAACATTCACTCATCACAGCATAAGCATCAACTAAGAATCTCACATAATAAACACAAGTCCAAAACAATCATTCATAATAACGTATTGATACGATACAATCATTATACATAATCTGGCGTTATAGATTCATCAAAGCATGACGACAACTTTAATATATGGATCAAAAATAATGATAGAGACTAACAACTAGATGTCTCTTTTTAACTTGTCACTTTGCCAACTAAAAAGTGTGTCAACACAACATCACACGTAAAGTGACAGATCTATGAATATGCATGTATTATTTGAGGCATAAGCAATCCTTATCAATAACAACATGTCACACACAAATGACAGTAAACTCCCCAACTCAATACAATACAACTACAGGCTCCTTACAGTCCCGAGTGGGATGCATGTTCTTAAAACACCTAATAGGTAAGCCTTTAGTGGAAATGCCAACATGTTGTTTATAAGCGTGTTTTCAGTGACAATGAGGTCTTTTACAATTTCTCTTTACAAAAATAGAACACACCATCATTATGCTTGAGCGGACAATGCTCCTGACGTTCTAAGAGAAATATACTATTATAGAACTTTCACAACACAGTTTCAGCCGGTCCAGAAATGGAGTGAACTACTCCTAATGCTGAAACAAGGTTCCACAATTACATCACACAAATAGCCTCACGATACGCCAATACTCCGCATCACAGTCAAGGACGATACGAGTGTCTATTTGACACTTTTTAACAAAGTAGCTCATCCTTTTATCATTTATGCAACCTACATAATTGGCATCACGAGATCCAACTACAACAAAAGTGATGGCTCACCGATACACAACTATCTGGTACTTCATTCCCAGATAATTCAATAATAATAACAACAATCACTCAAGTACCGAATCTGCACGTCAACAACAAATACAATAATAAGACGTGTGCATACTTGAGCATACATCAGGCTGCTAAACACGTAAGCATAAGGGATAACTTTATCTGAGCTTTCTTACTTCACCATAAGGACATTACACCTTTGAAAGTTTGTCACTTTAACAAACAATGGTTACTAGGAGAACAAGAATGCATATTGAACCTATTCGAAACAAGAACAATATAGGTTCTCTGAGACTACCAGAAAATGCACTTATCCTTGTCACGAAGAATCTACATGTTCTAGGCATTTTCAAGATTCTCATACCAAAGTGACTAGGCAACATGCTATTTGTCTACACCAACAGGTTAGAATCATTAGGCACAAGCAAGCTGTCACTGACATAAAAAATAGAAACATGCAACTGCTCCTACTAACCTTACACATATGCATTTATCAACAATATTCTCCATAAAGCTAATTTTAGTGACGGTCTCATTCTAAAATTGAGACCCTACTGCCTCGGTGTTATCCATACACACCCACTCATCATAGAGTTTCTCAACACATTAGTGGAGCTAGGAACCACATCCATTCTCAAGGCTATGTCAATTTCATCATTAACAGATTCATAAAGAGATTCATACCATATATAATAACTTGTCCCATTTAACGTCAAGATACCGGAGATGTAAGGATTGCTCAAGGCTAAAGAAAACAACAGGGACAACCAACAATAGACATGTAAAACAAGATCATGCAATTTGCCCTTTACTTAGCCTTCCCAATGATCCAAGCCAATATGATCATTGTGTGCTAGAGTCCGTTGAGCAAGAATAGAACTCTTTCGCAGGTAAGGACAATTCATCAAACATCACAACCAAATGCATCAATTCACCACTGATAGGGTAGTAAAGATTATGCGGTTCATGACATCCAACAAACTTCCTTCAACGCTCTAAGCATCATACCAAACAATTAATTATCGATAGGATAATTTAATTGCTCGTATAGATCTTAGCAATATGATAAATACATACCTTTATCTTTAACACTCCAATATATTATTTGATCGTAATATGAGTTTAGTGATTATGCAAGTTTACACATAATCATTCACAATATTCTCCCACTTGTACTGCATAATCAATGACGACAATACTCATATAATACAAAATGTCAAATATTAATATGTAAACAAAAACATGGATAAAGACAACAAGCTTAAGCTCCAACAAGACTCAAGCATTCTACCAAGCATTAATACTATTGATAGGATAATTCTATTACCCGTATGGACTTTCGGAACATAATTGACAAATTAAGTTTATCCATATAATCTCACAATTTATTATTTAATAATAGTATGTGAGTTAGTGATTATTCCAATCCACAAAAATGTTTCTAATTTCCTCCCACTTGGATAGCATAGTCAAAACACATGATACTCACATAAAATAAGATATCAAATAATAATGATAGCAATAATGAATAATTGTGGATAAACTTATAGCTTAAGCTTTATAATAGCACGTGAGCTTCTAATTAAAATTTTCATTCTCACTTTAACACAAAAGAGACCATGTATGCCTATACAAATAATTAGGCATTACAACATTAAATACAAAATGGGCATTTCAAAATTTGAACAAACATCCATAGTATATGTCTAAATTTTATTTACCAAAATATCAAATTATGTGGGAGAAGAAATAAAATATGACCATATAATATGGAGTAACAAACATGCCCTAAAATTTTAGGTCTCAAAATAGTGAGAATTAAAACTACCCAGAAAATATATGAAAATTATTACAATAAACAAATATTTAAATAAAAAATATTTTTTGGTAGCTCATGTGCATCCATGTAAGGAGTGTGTGTCTCCCAGTGCCTTTTTCAAAAGGAAATGTTAAATTTTGTGGGAGACCTCCGTAACATACGCAGACAATTTGACATGTTTAGACTCACGACAGACGAGTACATAAACATTCACTATTGTCGAATTCACATAATTAAATATGCCATGTAATAATAACAACATAATAAAAATTTTATAGTGTCAATCATCAAACAAATTGTATACGAAATGCTCAGAAAAAATTTGTTTGAAAATTGTGAGAATTAGCCACCCATAAAAATATAAAATTAATAATATAAAAATATTAAAAACATGATTTTATGGTCGTCCAAACCTAAAATAAATCATTTAATTGGGTAGGAAATAAAAAACGGAGCGCAATGGTGAAAACGACAGTCAAAACGGACTTCGGATGTGTTTGTACGGACCGGTCAAAGTTTGGTCAAAATTGATTTTTTTGTCCTGAGAAACGACATGTCGTTTTGCTGATACAGAAAAATGACATCATTTTTGTCAAAACAACACAAAACTGAACTTATCAAATGACATGTCATTTTTAACCCAAAATCAAAACACAGTGTCGCTTTTGTCGTCCTTAACCTTCAGTCGGGCCAAAAACGACCCGAACGGATCCACGACCAGACCCGGCCATATCTTGGCCTCCGGAACTCCGTTTTCGACGATTCAAAATGGGTTTTTCTCTAAATTTTGTCATCTTTTGATTCATAACATCAAAATGACCCAAAACACTTAAAATTTTAAACGAAAATGAAAACTCATTACGGCCATTTTTCATGCTTCAAACGGTGACAAATCGGCCAAATCAACTCACGAAACTTAAGAAAATTATCACCCATCAGATATATTTGAAGTGGGTAACCTCAAAGAATCATTTCTTTGAGCTAAAACATGGATTCAAAATTTTGGGTTTTGTTCCACCGAAAATGGAAAAATCTGAAAATTGTAGCTCTAAATCCAGTTGTCTCTGATACCATTTGCTAGATTTTAAATGGTCTAAACACAATCTAAGCAAGATCAAAATAACTAATCTAGCCAAAAATCTGAAAATGCCATAAAAATTTATTTGGGATTTAGGCATACATTCAAGTGGGCAAAGAAAGATTACCTCTTCCGGTAAGCAGCGAAAAAGTGTCGTCAATAGTCGCCGAAATCTGCCAATAGGCCGGTCAGAATCAATGGAGAACCTGCAAATAGGAAGAAGAGTTGCAAGAGGTGCTCTTGAGCTCCTCCCTATCTCTCCCTCTCTCCACTGTTCGGCCACCCCTAAAAAACCCCAACAAGCACACCAAAAATAAAAGGGTGGCTAACTATATAACCAAATAGGCCTAAGGGCTTTAAGCAATATTCAATGGAGAGGTTATTTAGTCTAATGATTTGACTAAATATTATGAGATAGATAGAGTTTATATGCCTCAAACAAGTTAATAAAACAAGTTTTCAGCTCATTATGGATCGATATTTAACATACATGCATATGCATATGTGAATTATTATAATTATGCAACTCCACATAAAAATATTCTAATAAGATCTTCACTCGTCATCTCATTCTTGCAATGGAGAGCAATCGTGAGAAACGGAGAAGATTCCATTTTGTAAACTTTTTACTTCCAAATAAAGAAAAGGAGTCCCCATAAGAGTAGTGGGAGTTCCCAGATTTCTTGGGATTCATTTGTGTTGACTTTGTGATTAAAAAAACTTCTAACGGTGACTCATATGGTAGCTGGACATTATATAATCTTGGAAATAGATATTCTGATAACTTATGAGGATTGCTTGTCATTATTTGTTGCTTGACAAGACATTTATTGCGACATAGAGCACATGCAGAGAACCAAACTAGGCTTTTCTTGTGCGTCGGCTCAGAGCTGTAATTTATTGATGATTTGTGATGCAAGGACTTTCATGACTACATGATTGGTCGACTTTTCTGGAATCATCAAAAATAGGATTTGACTTTATGGGTTATCTTCCTCTCATTCTTGAATATAAAGCAACAATTTTGCTCACCTGATAGGAAACTACACATCTAAATCCCAACTTTCCTTTCCATTTCTTTCAAACTACCAATGGATAAAGAACTCGTCCATGTTCTGCTTGGTTTGTTCTCTACTCTAGCATCAACTACAGTGTTTGTCATTTGCTTGAAGCTTAGCAATGACAGAAACAAGAAGAAACTACCACCAGGCAACATGGGGTTTCCTTGGATTGGCGAAACTCTGGAATTCTACAAAGCGCAAAAAGGAAACCGGTTGTTCGAGGAATTCATCCAACCCCGGATCAGGAAATATGGAAAAGTGTTCAAAACACATCTGATGGGATCCCCAACGGTAATTGTAAGTGGAGCAAATGCCAACAGATTCATTCTGTCCAATGAGTTCAAGATGGTGGTAAGCTCATGGCCTGCGTCGTCGGTTCAGCTCATGGGAAAGAACTCGATCATGGAAAAACAAGGAGAGAGTCATCGATGCCTCAGAGGCCTAATAAGTGCGACATTCGGGGATGTGGGGCTTGAAACTTTAGTCCCCAAGGTCTTCAACTCCATTCTGTCACATTTAGGCCAAAAATGGAACGACCGAGAAGAGATTAGCCTTTACCGTTCAACGAAAGCCATGACATTCACAATTGTGTTAGAGTGCTTGTTGGGGATCAATGTTAAGGCAGGAATGTTGGAGACTTTTGAGAAGATCTTAGAAGGAGTTTTTGCTCCAGCTATTCGGTTTCCAGGATCCAAGTTCTCAAGAGCAACGAAAGCGCGGTTGGAGATACATAGAATGATTGTTGAAGTTGTGAGGGAGGAGAGGCAGCAAATGGAAGCTTGTGGAAGGTTGCAAGAAAGAGAGGGAGGAATGTTGCTGTCCCGTTTGGTTGCAGGGTTGATTTGGGGGGAGATCAGCGAAGAAGAAGTTGTCGATAACATCGTTTTGCTGGTTTTTGCAGCTCATGATACTACTTCTTTTGCCATTGCCATGACATTCAAGATGTTGTCTCAGCATCCAAACTGCCATGCCCTCTTACTTCAAGGTATGCTCTCTTTCACCATCAACAGGAAAATCAAACATTGTTTCTGTGGAAATATCAGTTTTAAGCAACTCTTTTTGTCATTTTCCTGGCAGAACACGTTGATCTAATGAGGGACAAAAGACCGGGCGAGATTCTGACACTGGATGACGTAAAGAAAATGAAGTATACCTGGCAAGTTACTCGTGAAAGCATGAGACTCTTCCCTCCAATCTTTGGTTCTTTCAGGAAAGCGATTGTTGACATTGAATTCGAAGGATTCACCATCCCCAAAGGATGGAAGGTACATATCCATATTTGTTTTCCTCTTCATTTTTCTTTTATGCATGGATGAGATCATAATGTAGTAACAATTGTCAAACTTTCATCAAATTCCGTCAAATTGTTGTACTTTTCTTGTATATTTGACTTTTCTTGTATATTTGAAATAATTTTTATGTGATCTGACGGTCTATAATTATATTTCACCAATAGGTGTTTGTTTAACTCCGTCTTAGAAACAAATATTTTAAGTCCTACTCAGAACAATTATTTAGACACAAGATGATCAACTTATTTGTTTCTGTTATGTGCAGGTACTGTGGACAACATACGGAACACATTACAGTGCAGATTATTTTCAAGATCCTTTGAGTTTCAATCCTAGTCGGTTCGAGGAGCCCTTCCCGCCTTACGTTTTTCTTCCGTTTGGGGGAGGGCCAAGAGTTTGTGCAGGCTATCAACTGGCTAAGTTAACAACGCTCATTTTTGTGCATCTTGTTGTTACACGTTATGACTGGTCTTTGCTCTATCCTGATGAGAAAATCACCATGGACCCCCTTCCATTTCCCTCTCATGGAATGCCCATCAAAATTTCCCCAAAGATGTGATGAAGTTAACAACCAAAAATGGAAGTCATAAAATGATAGACCTTACTTTCAGTGCATATTATTACCTTTTCTTCTTTCTTTTCATAAATCAACTAGCTCTACAAGTTGGCAGCATCAAGACTGTGTAGCCGCCACTTGATGCTAGAATTCTTTTTTGATCTTTAACTCAATTATTACCCCTTCTTTTGAATAAAGTTTTTTTTAGAAATATACAATTCAGTTTCAAATAAAAAATAAAAAAAATAAAAAATAAAAAACCCGCACTGCTGTGTTAACAAGTTTTGTTCCGACTTTAGCATTAAATACCTGGTTCTTAATACTCTCATTAGACCGGCAAAATAGAGAACTTCTACTGTAGAACATATTCTTTTTAACTATCGGTTAGAATTGTTTTTTTAACCATTCAATTAAGTTTTTAATATACAAGCGTTTACGTGTGACATAGAATTGCTCCAATTACAAATCAAACCGTTAAAAACCTAATCCAACAGTTAAAATAATAGTTCCTGCCCATACTTAAAAAAGACATCCTATCATAGAAATTCCCCGTAAGAAAAAAAATAAAATAAAATAAAATAGTACCTGCATATTGGACAATGATAAAGAAAACTAGAAGTAGGCAAAGGAACACGTATATAAAGGCAAGTGGAAATCATGCACAAAGATATTGTCATATGGAGACGATTGCAGCATCGTCACAGATAATCCTTCTCTTAACCAAAAACAAAAGTGACCAATTTTTCAAGTTCTGCAGTGGAAAATACAACCCGTCACATGAAATTCTTGGAAACTCTAAGCCTTTTGCATATGATGTTCTAGGAAACTCTACATATTCCTGAAACAAATTTGCTACTGTCCAATGAAAGAAGATGACACTCGGAAGCTTTGTCACATTTTAGGACATCAAAATTCCATCAGTTTACTTGTCAAACGATTCGGTGCTTGAACTATTTAGTTTTCTTATCTAACCAATCTTCTCTACAGCTTGGACCCAGATTTTGGTTAGACATTAACAGTAACTGGAATATGCAATACAAATAAGAAAAATGGTGAACTTCATTTCCTGCTCTTTTCTAGAATAAAAGAATGGTATAACAAAAAAACCTTATTCTGATGGCTAAAAGAATATCTGCTTTCGCATGTATCGATGATATTTCTATGCATTTGTTGGATCTATCACACACTGTCTGGCGTCTGGTAATAGCCTGTGAGTTGTTGGCTTCAACCCTCTCCTGGACCAACATTTAACCAGGGTTGTTTCTAGTTTCCTCACCTGCATTTGTTGTCAGTCAAATATCTGATTCATAAGAGCGTGATTATTACAAATATACAGTGTGCACTCAAAACATCCAACCAAACAGAGATTCATTTTAAAAAAGCGTAATTTGCACCAATCCACACCTGAATCTTTTGACATTTGCAAGTTGGAGCTTAACATTTTATTGTAGCATTTAGGACCCTAACTTTGACTACCCTTAGCAATGCAGTCCAATTAATAACAATTCATACCAGTTCCATTTGATATTAATTTTGTCCAATAATCCGTCTTGCTTCAGTGGTCAAGAGTGAAGGGGTAATCCTTTACAAATGAGTATCAGATACTAAACAAATTTCTCTGTACAACAGTAAAAAAAGACAAAACGGATAATAATCAAGGACCTTAGCTCTTAGCTCAGGGTATTAAGCACTTGTGTCGTCTCACGGTAAGAAAAAGAAAAATAATACTATAAACGACCTGATCCTCCCAGCCTTCATAAAGGGGTTCCTTAACTTTGTTGTTCCTAAATACAAACCTGTCAATTGCCTACTCAAGGAAGTAGTTTATACACTGTTAAGCCTGTGCTGATCGAAAGAAAATCTAGAAACAAAGAAGAAGAACCAGAATTCTCTTATTCAGTAATGGAAGATTTACAAAGTATACAGCAGACTTCGAGGGTTTGCAAGCCTCCCAGCCAAGACTTTCAAGAACTGATTACAGTTTCGACAACTAGTTTCCTGCCTACTCAATAATCCTTCTTCCTATTTATATCAACCCCTCTGCTAACCGACTTCTAACTAACTCCGCCTCTTCTAACACTCACACCTGAGCCACCTTCTAATTTCCCACTCCTCCTAATATACACTTGTCTAAGCAGTGACTTATCAACTACACCCCCCGCCCCCCAAAAAAGTAACCTTGTCCCC